GCAGGATACAAAATCCTCTTCTGCACATCCCTTGAGGTTTTCAGAGAAACAGGGCACAAAGTTGGCTGCAGTACAGTTATTATTCACTGGAAATAAAATCACTTGAATACAAATTATAGAGCATTACTTTTCAATACATGAAAAAGGTTGATTTTTAATGTAGTTCAATACCTCATTTAATATTTTTAATCAGTTTTGGAAAGCCTTCAATATCTTGACACACACTGAAGCTTATAATTTTTTTTTAATTGTTTTAATGAGAATAACTTGGGTAGACCTGTGTGTAGAAAGGTAGCAGTTACTCATTTGGGAATTTAATCTTTAGGAGCCAGGTTCATCAGTGTTAATTAGAATCCATACCCAACCTCCCAGTCCTTCCAGAATTATCATACTGCTCCGTAGAAATGATAGCTCGTCATCTCAAGTACTGCTATTTCACATTTTGAACTACTTAGAAATTATACTGCTGTAGGTAAAAACCCACTGTATTGGATAGAAGGGCAGAGAAATTTGATACCAGCGTAGAGAGGAAAAGAGGCAGGAAAATCAAGTGCCTCTCTTTTCTAAAATTTTTTTGAGTGAGACAATAAGAAAAACCTAACATGGCAAATCATAATCTTTATATCTGAATTCTGTTTCTGAATTTCATCTTATAGGCTGCATGCTGCTTTTTTATTACATTGAAGAAGCCTTATCTATTGTCCTTTGCTTACTTCTCTAAGGGTTATGGAGCAAGGAAATAGAGGTTGTATTCAAGAATGACTAGTAGTCTAACGGTAAAAAGGATAGATTTGGTTCTGTTAACTTTGGGAACACATTCATGTGAAATGTAGATAAGGTCATCATGAGGACATGTTCTTATTCCACTTCACGGAGTACTTACACAACTTCTGCAGCAGAAGTAATGCACAATAGATTAAATGTTGAATTTTTTTTTTTATTTTTGCCCTGATCTTACTCAGGCAAATTCCTATTTGCCTGAATAAGATACTCTCTGCAGTCATTCTCATTCGAGT